CAATGGAAACATGCATCTACTTCATAAATTTGCTCTTTGGTAAATCCAGGGACTCTAACCAGACACTTGCAGGGCCCCAGCTGAGAGGTAAGTGGATTGTCTATTTCCTCACCCTTCAAAAGTCCAGAAAGCCCTAGCTGGTTTGGCTCAGTGGATAGAGCATCAGCCTGTGGACTGAAGGGTCCCAGGTTCTATTCCAGTCGAGGGCACATGCCCAGTTGTGGGCTCGATCCCCAGTAGGGGGCGTGCAAGAGGCAGCCAATCAATGATTCTCATCATTGATGTTTCTATTTCTCTCTCCCTCTCCTTTCCTCTCTGAATTTAAAAAAAAACACACACAAAAATCAGAAAGAAAATTCAGGTACCAAGCTTGCATCTAAGTCCCTAGACAATTCCACTTCTCTCAGAAAACAGAGCATTTCCTGAGAGCCAGGATTGCTTGGTTCTCTTACTGAGAATCTAGGATCCATAAATTACTTAATCCTATCTTTTTGTTGTTGTTAGCCCTCACCCTAGGGTATTTTTCCATTGATTCTTAGAGAGAATGGAAGGGAAGGAGAGGGACAGAGAGAGAGAAACACCGATGTGAGAGAGACACATTGATGGGTTGCCTCCCGAATATGCCTCGACCAGGATTGGGGATCGAGCCTGCAACTGAGGTACATGCCCTTGACCAGAATCAAACCCAGGACTCTTCAGTCTGTGGCCGATGCTCTATCCACTGAGCCAATTAGCTAGGGCTTCTTAATTCTATCTTAAGAAGGCAGTGAGTCCTTAAAGGAATACAAATAGTCCCTGCTGGTTTCCTATGAAACAAGATATTAGAAGTTAAATCTGGGTGTCATTTAGTTGTAAGAGCAAATCCTGAACATGGATCCAAACATAATATTTGTAGGTCTAAGCTTCCATAGTGTTTGAAGAATTTTTACTCAGCGTTGATTGTGTGCTAAGCTCTGTGCTGGGCATGTCAAAAATGGTGCTCTGCATTTATTTTGTTTTGTATTCCTGTGGATTTGATAACAAAGTATAATTCAGTGGAGGAGAAGGCAAGAAATACTTCAAGGCATTTTTTCAGGTGCTTCTCTCTTAGCCCATCAAACCTCAGCAGTGTATTCCTTTTTATTTCTACACGAAAACCAACTGAGCTACTCAACCAGGACCATCTCTGTTTTCATTGGCCATCTCTTCTTACATATTGTCTACTTTTTCTAGGAGATTTAATAGAAAAAGTCTGGGTATTTTCATTTGCTTGGTGTATTAGTGAGGGTTCTCTAGATAAATAGAATCAATATACTAGTATATAAATATTGATATTTATATGTATCGATTATATATAAGATTTTATCTATCATTTATCTATAGATTTTAAAGAATTGGCTAATGTATAGGGGCTGGAAAGTCTGAAATCTGCACTAGCAGGTAGCAAACTGGAGACCTAGAGAAGAGCCAGTGTTGCAGTTTGAGTCCAAAGGCTGTCTGCTACAGAATTCCCTCTTGCCTTAGCCAGTTTGGCTCAGTGGATAGAGTGTCAGCCCATGGACTGAAGAGTCCTGGGTTAGATTCCAGTCAAGGGCTCATACCTTGGTTGCAAGCTCGATCCTGAGGCAACCAATCGATGTGTCTCTTTCACATCAATGTTTCTCTCTCTCTGTCTCTCCCCCTCCCGTCCACTCTCTCTAAATATCAATGGGGGGAAAATCAATGGAAAAAATATTCTTAGGTGAGTATTAACAACAATAAAAAATTCCTTCTTACTCAGGGGAGATCAGTCTTTTGTTCAATTCAGGTCTTCAACTGATTGGATGAGGCCCATCCACTTTATGGAGAGCAATCTACTTTACTTAAAGTTCCCTGATTTCAATGTTAATCTCAACCAAAACATTCTCATAGAAACATCCAGAATGGTTGACCACATATCTGGATGCTATGGCCCATCCAAATTGATACACAAAATTAACCATCATACTTGGTAATGGCATAGATATCTTATATGTATGTATATTTATAGCAGGATCATAAGATCTTTTCTCAAGGGTTTTTTTTTTAATCCCCACCCAAGGATATGTTTTTATTTTATTTCATTTATTTTATTTTTTTGAGAGAGAGAGAAACATCAATCTGTTGCCTTCTGTCTCCTGTATGCACCCCGACCAGGGATTGAACCTAGGCATGTTCCCTGACCTGGAAGTGACCCAGGAACCCTTTGGTGTACCTGACAATGCTCCAACTAACTGAGCCACCTGGCCAGGGCTCAAGGATTCCTTCTTCAGGTTCCCTTTATCTGAGAGGCTCTGGGTCTATGAACCAGGTAAGGTAAGATAACTGCTTGAGAGATTGGGTCTCTCTCCATTTGGGTGACATCAAATTTTGGTTCACCAGATTAACTAAAATTATCATAGGCTGCTCATTAATTAGTGAGTACCAAAGATCCCTGTGGATCAAGCCTGATTATTACCTCTCTGACTCTGCTGTCCATTACAGCAAGCTTGTCCACTTTTCTCTGTGTTAAAGTGCTGCCACTGGCCTCTACCACATTGAAATGAGGGAGCCCATTTCAACAAGTGGCATCTTCCACCATCATCTCACAGGTGCCAGCATAGAAGTACAGGAACACTGCTGCTCCTCTTACCAAGAGATTTCTCGATGTTTGGGTGAAGTGACTGTCCTCTCTGCCCTTCTGAGAGATAAACTGAGAGGGTTGAAGAGTATGTTGCACGTGATCAATCCATTCCAACATCTCTATCTCACAAAACCTTTGGATCCTTTCTTCTCTATTATATCAAGAAATTTCTAGTATCTTAAACTAATATCTAATTTAATGAAGGCCATTGTTGAGTCTGGTTTTAGTCAATCAACTGAGAAAATCCTTAGGGCCACTCCTGGCTGATTGAGCTAATACACTGAATTTAGAATCTCTGGTGCTATAATATATCAATAATCTCAATATTATATTCCTTCTTCCTTGTTCTAGAACCCAGTCCTACACAGAAACCCTCTAGTGTCAATATACATGAGCAGTATCTTGTAATTCTTTCCCTATATACACTTCTCCTCTGGTGTCAGATGTCTTATCCAACTTCCTAGGGTATAGGGAGATCTGATTCTGGTTGTGGACATAGAGGTAAAGAATCACTGGCACACCTTTGCAAGATTGATGCTTTAGTGAAGCCATTATAGGATCTTCAAGCAAGGGATGGCTAGTATCTCAGAGAGGGGCAGAGAGACTGCTTCAGCAAGCAAGGAGGACTCTGGGATTTGGGGGTTCAAGATAATCAAATTCAATGAAAACTACCAAAATGTCCCTATTCCAAGTCTTTGGGTTTTAAATTAATCCCAAACTTTCACATATAAGACCGAAGAAGACTGTGAATTCAACTCCTGTGATAATTTGGCAATCTGCAGGATCAAACATTGAGTCTAATATGTAAATACTTTCTGTAGCTACAGAAGTTAAGAAATTCTTTTAGAGTATTGAAGCTCTCTAGTTCTCTGAGCTGTCATTTTATTCTGTAAACTCTCCAGGGCGTTCAGAAGCTACTAGCTCTCTCAGTGGTCCTTCTAGAAACCATTTCTACCAGAGAGTCTAAGCTAGCAGAGACATGTCTTCAATAGGCACTTTATTCTCCACTGATAATTTAAGTGATTGCTTCCATTTCATGCCCACGACTATCATGATCTCATTTTCGACTAGTGATAATATTATCATTGACTTAAAACAGAACCAAGCCAGATAGCTAGTCCTAGATTCCTATCTTTGAGGGTCAGTTTTCTTTTCTTTTTTTTTTTAAAATATATTTTATTGATTTTTTACAGAGAAGAAGGGAGAGAGATAGAGAGTTAGAAACATCGATGAGAGAGAAACATCGATCAGCTGCCTCCTGCACATCTCCTACTGGGGATGTGCCCGCAACCCAGGTACATGCCCTTGACCGGAATCGAACCTGGGACCTTTCAGTCTGCAGGCCGATGCTCTATCCACTGAGCCAAACCGGTTTCGGCAAGGGGGTCAGTTTTCTAAAGCCACCTTTGGCCTTAGTTACGGTCTCTGTTAAAAATTATTTAGGAAACAAACAAATAAAAACACTCATAAGTATTTCAAGCACAGGAGGATTAAAATGCCAGTAATAGGTGCATATAAAGCCATTGAAAGGATTGGAAGAGCAATACAGGGTAGACAGACCTATTTTCAGGTCAATCACTGAAGCTGTCTGTAGTCCAGGACAGCAAAATATTCTTGCTGCCGCCTAGGCTGGAAAACCATAGGTGATTTCCATTGTGAGAACAGCGGCCCTGCTCTTCCATTGTGAGTGATTGGTAAAGAAGTACTTCTTGTCTGCTACCACCCATGCGTCTGTGTGCTGTTGCCAGAGAAACAAAAACAATGGTTTCTGCTTTTATCCCATTTTCCAGTGCTCACACAAGTGTATCTTTTTATCAGAAGATTAATAACATCTACCCTGCCTCACACACACATTGCCAAGTGTTCTAGCTTTTATACTTTTCTGCCTCTCCCCTAGCCTCTGTGCCAGTCAGCTCCAGAACCTAGAGTATGCGGAGCATGATTAAAGGAGTAAGCTTAGAGAAGAGGAGGAGCAAGAGGTCAGGTTCTCTTTTGCCCTAGTCTAAGTACGAGTAATGTTCTGATGATTTTGGTCCCACTCTCTTCCTCATATTAGAAGGACAATTGGAAGTTTGAAAGTTGTCTTTTAATAAAAACCTCAAGAGATAGCTTAGATTTACAAAATACCTAGGTATAAATATTTTTCCAACTAAGATGATAGTGCAAAATGTACATCTTAATATATATTGTATTTTCCCATGCACAATATATATACACAGAATATACATATATGTGTATAATCTATTTTTAAATTCCATTCAACTCTGTGAGATGACAAAATTGAAGCTCAGAGGTGGAGGTTGAGTAACTGGCCCACCATCCTACACTATAAGAGAACTCTCATCTGCCCACATTGGTTTCCATGAGATACAGAGGGCAAGGAACTCCAACATTCATGCATGGAAACTAACCAACTCAAAGTGTCTGGCCTCCGGGTCAGAATCACCTTCCATCTCCGCTGAGTCCCTTAGGCACTTCGCCCGCGGCCGTCCACCCGGATCCCGCATGAGCGAGATCCCAGACTGGCGTCCCCACTTGCTGTGTGCCTCAGCATCTGCCATCACCCAGAGATGGAGCAGGAATGACTGAGGATGCCGGGAGCCAGCGCCCGAAAAGGGGGCAGGGAGAAGGGGCGGGGTGGGGTCCGCCTCCGCCCCCTACCCTCCGTTCACTCCCATTGGCCGAGCGTTCGCCGGCCCCATTCCCACCGCCCGCCCCCAGGGCGACGCTTAAAGTGTGCGGAGCAGGTGCCTGGAGTGGAGCAACAACTTTGCGCGCGTGTCCGGGCTGTGCGCGCCGCCCATTCATCGCCCGGGAGCGTCCGCACCTCCTGCCGCGCCGGTCATCCTCTGGGAAGGGACTCCAGACCGGAGGCAGCCGCCACCAGAGGGACCGCGACCAGAAGACGGGCCGAGAGCGCCGCTGACTCTTGCGGTCGGGGGCTGGAGACGGTGGCTGCGACCATGCAGACGTGCGCCAGGGCCTGGGGGCTGCGTCTGGGCTGCGGGGTCCCCGGCGGCCGCCGCCTGGCGGGAGGCGCGGGGCGGCGTTGCGTGCAGCAGAGCCGTGACAACAGGAGCGGCGGTGGGGACCGCGGCGGGGCTGGGGCCTCGCGCCTTCTCGAGCGCCTCCTCCCCAGACACGACGACTTCGCCCGGAGGCACATCGGACCTGGGGACAAAGACCAGAGGGAGATGCTACAGGCCCTGGGGCTGGCGGTAAGGACCCCCCTCCGGCCCTGGGGACCTCGCCTCGCCCCGCCCGGGTTCTGCCGGCGCGGCCTCCCGACCCCCCGCCCGCGCTCTGTCTTGCTCCGCGTGGGACCCGCGTCCGGGTGCCGGGCCCTGGAGGGGAAGCGAGTCCGCGCGCTCGGTCCTCCGTACCCCAGCCTTCTCCCGCCCGCGTATTTTCTCTTCGCGCTTCAAAACCGTTTGTTTTTTTCAGCCCAAGTCGCCCCTAACTGATGAGTCCTAACTTTGAGAGAGGAGGAACTCCTAGTTTATCCGATTATCTCCCGTTGCCGGCTGCAATCCAACCGTAGTGGCCCCATCACTACCCCACTTCATCATTTTCTTTGCTCCAAGCGATTTCTAGTTGTTTTTTTCAAAGTTGTTCTTTCCTTTTTTAAAAAGGAACCATAATTAGGCGACTTAAGTGAGGTTCCCACAAGTCTTTGCAGATGCAACACTCAGAGGTGACTCTTTTAATTCCGAAGCATTTTCCTCCCGTGTTCGTGTTCACCGTCTCTCGTTTTAATTCTAGAGCATTGATGAATTGATGGAGAAGACGGTCCCCGCGAGCATCCGTTTGAAAAGGCCCTTGAAAATGGAAGACCCCGTTTGTAAGTGGCCGGGAGGGCTCCTTAGTCGCCGCTGGCTCTGGCCGGTTGTCTTCTGTGGTCTCTGAAAGTCCAGCTCTAGGTTAGGATTGCTCAAGACCGGGAATGAGTATGTTTATTTAAACAGAACAGCGGCGGATGCGTCAAGGTGAGGGAGAGAGTGGAACATTTAGTCCCATAAGCAGTCAGTTTTGTACCCGCGGATGGAGCTGATGCAGCGCCTTTCTAGGTCTTCATCGCAGGGCTCTCGAGGTCCCTGCAAACTTCCCAGGGAAGGCAGTGCACCGACACGTGGGCGGACGTCTCGGTTCTCAGGCACCGACTGGGACGATTCTCTCATCCTTTGGGTTGAGAAGTTTCATCACGTCTGCAGATCAGGATAGAGACTCAGAAGGGACAAAGGAATTGCCTATAGCCATGCATCCAGGGGAGTCACACACAAATGGGGGAGACCCTAGACACCTGGCCTCCAAGCCCATGGTTCTTTATACCAGAATAGCTTTTAATTGTTCTCTTATCTCACACTTATATTTTATTATTTATACCTACGGAAAGGCAGCAGTACTTTTTTTAAGTGTGAACAATTTTTATAGAGAAGCACACAAATAAGATTAAATGTTTTGTTCAGAGAGCTTAATTTACTCACAGACTTTCTTAGAATTTTATTTTCTATTTAAATGTTTTCAATAGTCTGAAGATTGCCTTCCAGAGGTTTTCCAGGACTTAGGCATGAATCCACCAGTCAAAGGGACAGGCAGAACTGAAGAGCTCTTGTCAATCGGGTTGTTTTGTTTTAGGTTTTAGGACAGAGAGGATATATGGAAGGCAAGCTTTATTTTGTATTAAGGTAGATAAGTTGGAGTATGAAGCCAGTCCATCTGCGGCTGGCTAATGTAAGTCAGGCTGTGCTGAGACTGCTTGTTGGTTTCAAATCTGAACCAGTTTCCCTGAACAGAGGATGACCGGCGCGACAGATGGCTGTACCTTTGCTCATAGAAGAAAATCTGCACGTTTTGTTCTGTTGAAGTGATTCAGACCTAGGCATAGCTGGAAGCCTTATCTATTTCCGTTTGAGGAAATCTTAATCCCGATTCATTGGATGTTTAAAGAATGAAGAGTTGCATATTTTTAAAGCAAGCTTTAAGTAAATATATGAACAAGTAAATGCCTTTCTGGGACTTTCAAAGTTAGAATATTTAGGTCAGCACTTCTTACAATATAATCTAAAATAGGATGTTCTTTAGGAGTATTAAAACCTAGGAAATGTGTCAGAGTTGTCTGTCCTTTTTTAGTTCAGCTTGTTTCTAGCAGAATAATTTGAACATCGGGGGCTTCCATTTCTTCTCCCTGTCCCTCTCCCTCCCCCTCTGCCCTCTCCCTATTTCTCTGTGTCTCTCCCCACTTGGAAATGAATTTTTTTTTAAAAAAAAATGTTTTTATTGATTTGAGAGAGAAGGAGAGAGAGAGCGAAACATTGATCGGTACTCATCCTGGCCAGGGACCAAACATGCAACCTGGGTATGTGCCCTGACCAGGAATTGAACCTGCCACCTTTTGATGTACAGGACAATGCTTCAACCAACTAAGTCACACTGGCCAGGATTTGAAGCACACTTTTTAAAAAATATGTTTTTATTGATTTCAGAGAGGAAGGGAGAGGAGGAGATAGAAACATCAGTGATGAGAAACAATCATTGATTGGCTGCTTCCTGCATGCCCCCTACTGGAGATGGAGCCCACAACCCGGGCATATGCCCTTGACCAGAATCGAACCCGGGACCCTTCAGTCCGCAGGCCAACGCTCTATCCACTGAGCCAAACCAGTCAGGGCGGAAGTACACTTTTGATAAGTAATTGGAGACTTATGTGTAAACTTTAAACTCAGCAGCTTCTATGAGATTTGAGCCTAGTTCCATCTGGTTGGTCTGAGCTGACTCAGAAAATAATTGCATAGTCCGGAGTCTTCCCTTGTCCTGAAGCAGACTAGCTCTGCAGCAGAACTTGCTTCTTGGGTAATGAATATTCTCCACATAGGGTGAGCAAATTGGTCCAATAGTAGCATTTCTATGTAATAGTGAGGCAGCGTTATCCAAACTTGGTTCCACATGAATGCCTGTGTTCTATTGTAGTCAGAGAGGAATCTGGACCACATATTTGTTCGCCATGTACAGAGAAAACTAGTAAGAGCTAGTCATGAGTCCTCAGTGCCCTCATAACTGAGTAAAATGATTGTGAGAACTATAAGCAGCATGGAGATATGTGGGTTAGCTCTTATGACTAACTTAATAATCTCAAGAGTTTATGTAGTGCTTACCCTGTACTGGGTACCTTGTAAAGTACTTTCATGTGTTAATTTAATCCTTATAGTCCTGTGAGGCAAATACCATTTTCACCTCTGTTTTAAAGAAGAAAGCATGGAATACAAAGGACATGTAGCTTGCCCAAGGTCAAAGCTGATAAGCGGTGAAGACAAAATTCAACCTAACCCAGGCAGACTAGCTCCACTGTCCACACTCCAACCACCAGTCTATCCTGTCTTCATGTGTCCTCTGCAAGCGGGTGGGTGTATAAACTAGAAAATTTCTGTCCTGACTCTCTGAAGTATCCAGTTTATGGATGTGCACAAATCCAGTCACACTGAAATCACTGCCATTTGCCAACTGCCCTATGGAAATACAGTGGCGTGCTGAGAGCACAGGTATGGGATACCTCCTGCTGCCAGGGTGCAGGACTGGGGCTAGGTCTTGAAGGATGGGCAGTGATGCTCTGCTGGTCAAGGCTGGGAGAGGCTGCTGCAGGCAGAGGGACCAGCATGTACAGGACAGAGTGTCCTGACAGAATCAGGGAAGTACAGATGGTTCACCTGTCATGTAGGATCTTTTCTCTACCCTTGGGCACTTCAGGAAGTGCCTTGAAAGAAAACTTTGATTATCAATTGGCTTCTCAGTAAGTCATATTTAGAGAAATACGAAAAGCTACTCAGTTCAAAGCCCTATCAGTTTCATCCTATTTAGTGAATCCCCCCTCCCTCATCCACATACATAAGGGGGGGAAAAAAGACGGAACATTTGTTTCTCTTGATAGTCATTATGGATGATTTTAGCTTTCTTTTTGTTACTCTGCTTTTTCTAGATTTCCTACAATAACAATGTTTTATTTTGTAATTAATACAAAATTTAGAAGTACTTTAAAGTTGAAGCCAATGACTTTCGGGTATGGTATGCCTTACCGTGTAGTACTTTCAGGGAGATCATCTCGGAACTGAAATTACTGAACTGGCCCGTGATTTCACAGATGCTGCAGGGTTTAAAGTTTACACAAAATTGCACTTTGCTTATTGTGGGCATGCGTATCCTTAGGAAGAGAGAAGAAACTAAATGTTCAAGTTGGTCAACCAGAACCGAGCCTCTGAGACTTGTGGAAACTTAATGTTCTACATTACATCACTTAGACTCTAAGTCTTAGAGTGATTTTTTTTTTTTAAATTATTTGAGAGAGGAAGGGAGAGAGAAACACATTGGTTTGTTGTTTCACTTATTTATGCATTCATTGGTTGCTTCTTGTATGTGCCCTAACTGGGGCCTGAACCTTGGCATGTCAGGATGATACTCTAACCAACTGAGCTACCCAGCCAGGGCACTTAGAGTAATTTTTAATGGAGGGCAGTGAGCAGAGAGAGGGGGTGTTGTGTAATGCAGCTGAGGTGGTTACTCTGTCACCCCAGTGGGGTTGGGCACTCACCTGGACTGACCCCAAGGACACCTAGATAGCTGGGACAGCTGTTCTCCAGGCTGTGGCTGACAGTTGTCTTCCAACCAAATGATGTCTGTTATCAGGCCCTGCCTATAGGCTCCTCAGTCTATGACAAAGCTCTCCCTTGGGCATTCCTTGCTCCTTCAGTTCCAGCTTAAATTAATATTTCATCTTCAATTCCAATTGGAATCATCCTAGTTGAATATGAATTTCCACAATTGTGGAAATAAGCAAAGATCAACCAAATAGTGAAAGCAAACATTATTTATTCTGAACCTGCTGTAGGAGTTAGCCTTTTGTTTTGGCGGAGGAGTGGGTAAGCCACCTTGTGGAGTAAAGGAAAGGCTTAAGGTGTTACCTTTTTGGAGGCTGTTGGCATGGAGAAGCTACAGGTAGGCTAATTAGAAGCAGGGCTTCCTATGCGCTTGGTTAGGGTTGCATATTTCACTTTGTCTGGTTGGTCCTAAATTGGAAGCAGGGATCACAATTAAGGAAGCTGTCAGTTATTAATCCTAGCAATTTGGGGCCGATTATTACAGAAGTTATTGTGCAGTTTCCTGGATTGTCATTCTGCAAGCCTAACTTATAGCAGGCTGGCTTCTGGGGTGGTTTATTGTAGGTAAGGGGGTTGGCTTCTTTATTGTAGGTAAGGTAGGTTGCTGCAGGATATACGTTCTGGTTATATATGGTCTGGCCACCGTCTGTGTAATTCATTCTCTCACAATAGAGTCCTTATATTTTTGTCATTAATTCCTGGTAGGCAGATCCCTGAAGATCTGACTGATAACTTTAGTCAATCTGTTGCCTAATTGTTAAATGTTTATTGGCCATTTGCTTTGTGCAAGGTACTGTGAGATACATATATATAAAATCACTATCCTCAAGGAGCTTACATCTTACCTTTGTAATAAATTAAGTCAGAAAGTTAAAAAGTCTCAAGTCCATGAGAACTATGGATAAAATGCTGTGAGTGTTCAGAAATTATGTGAAATTGAATAGAAACAACTGGGATTTCTGAAACAATGTAAAGAATTGAAATATAACTTTTTTCTGTAAGAAGCAAGGACAATATCTTTACATTGATGATTTTGTGTGTGCATGTATTATAAGAAGAAAAAGACTCAAAGAAATAAAGGTAGTACCTTTGCTCTGAAAAAGAAAATGGCAAAATGCAATGTGCAAAAAGTATAATTATGGGAGCATGAGTATTGTTGTCCCATCTTTGATTTAATCTTATCAGAATAATTATG